GTTTGGTCAGAAGCATCACCTCAGTTCCCTGGCACCCCTTTATACAAAAAGTCTGGAATATTTAGCTGGGGACTTCACCCCAGCTCCTGGCATAAGCTCCATCCCCTGGGAGTTGCCTCAGTCCAAACTCTACCTCCAAGAAAGCCCGCCAAACAGTGACCCCTTCCCCGTGGTTTCACCTCTTTCCTCTCTGGTGGTCAGTTCGGTTTCTCTACCCCCTTCTGTGTTTTCCTGAGACCACCTGAAGCACTGGCACCCATTAAACCTGGGTATCTCTTAATTCAGTCTGATTTGGTCTGATTGGTATTATTTGTGTCGGTGGAGAGGTTTGTTGGTAAGAAAATACTTAACATTTGGAGGGCCCATAGTGGGGTAGGGCTGTTTTTTCCACGGGTCCAGGGCCACATGTTGGAAAACGCCCTTCTTGAGCATGCTCTTCACCAGCCTAAGCTTGACTTCGTCTTGGTGAGTTCTCCCTTTTGAATACATGCCTCTAGGGTCCGGGACCCATTTTATGTTTACGTTTGTCGATTTTGGGGATATCCCGTAAAAGTCACGGTCATGCCGGGTGCCCAACACAAGCAGTGAGACAGTTCTCGCTGAGGTGGGACTGAGTGCCACTCATTTCTCACGATCCTCCGCNCCCCCCCCCCTCCGCCCCCGTTTCTGACTCAAGAGCCTTGTCACGATGGACGCATTCTGACAGGCTTGAGTCCCAAGATTTGGCATAGACTTCTAAAATGGGCTCTTGCAGTTCAAAACCTGATCTCTGAATGCTGTTGGGCTGCCTTTTACAAGAATCCTTTTAAATTGGGGCTAACATCCAATGTAAAAGCAAACAAGGCTCCAAAAGCCACGGTTTCTGGATGCCGTGCTCCCAGCCCCACTCCCATTCCCCGCTCCCTTCCCTGCTTCTCTAGCTGTTTCCTCTCTCACTGTTCTCTACAATGGATCCAGATCTGTTTTCCCCCTGTCCTTCCACTCTAAAACTGTATAGTTCTTCCATCCTTATGTTTCTGTTTCTTCTTACAGCGGCTGCTAATCTGGTCCTTAATGGGACCACCTGTGTGCTTCCCTGGCTTCTGCCGCCTACCTACACGGGGATTTTTAAGTTGGTCAACTAACACAGGTTCCTAAAAAAAAGTTTTATTTGTCTGTTTGTTAAAATAATATGGTCACAGTATACTTATTTTACGTCTACGTGAGTGTGTGTTCGTTGCCACAGCATGCTTATGTTACGTCTATGTGAGTGTGTGTGTTCGTTGCCACAGTATGCTTCCTCCTTCCTCCCATTTTACCTCTAAGTCTATGCTTGTGGCCTAGAAGAAGCAGGGCAGGGGTGTGAACACAGGATATGGCACTGGAAATGATATGGTATCCATCAAACTGCAAAGGATGTTGGGAATGCAGTCTTCCCACGTATTAGGGAAGAAAGAACAGGCTTGGCGAGCGTATGAATTATCCGGGCCACAGTAACTGCCTCACGCTTCAGGGAAACAGAGGCAGGAGCCACACGTTTAGCCCTAGTACAGCCAAGCAGACTTCAGAATTAGAAGTTTCCATTTTGCACCCGAAGACATCGATCCTAGCTTGCCTGGTCAGTATTCCATATCACAGCAGCGTTGTTTAGCCCTGGATTGTGGTTTCATCCCTCCATGCTCAGCATGTGCTCCTGGTGCCTCATGGGAAAAAAAGATGAGAAATAACTTGGGTGACTGACAGTCTCTCCTCGCGGAGACTGATATTTACTCATGAAAGGGAAGCTAACCACATCTTAAGAACTTGGGAAACTAACCCTGATAGAAATCACCACCCGTTACATGCTTATCATACACTTAGTGCCGTGGTAAGCATGTTTGAGGCCCAGTTCGTTTCATCCACTCATTTTAGTCTTCAAGATTCCTTGTTACCAAATCCCTTGGAAACGGACTCGACTGAGTGGATTTCTAAGTGGTTATGAAGAGAAGAGCAATTACACCTCCTTTTAAGGTGATCTTACCAAGAACAGCCTTCATCTGGATGGATGAGTCCTGATGGGTTTGTAAAAATACTAGTCACGTGACCACAGCATCCCATCTCAAGTGACTTGGTAGCTGCCCCCCCCCAACCCGGCCTGTCATCGCTTCTGCTAGCAGATGGGGTTGCCCATCTGCTCTTTATTTTTATTGTCTACTCAGCTGGTTGAGCTTGCCAGCACAATACTGGGGAATCTCCTTTCCCACCTAAGTGGATAGAGCTCTCTGTGGAACACGGAGAATCTTCATGGTCTCTTGAGGTTTCTCATTTAATAAATGGTTCTTTGGGGAGGAGACAATGATGGAAAAGAGACTGCAATGTTTGGGGGTGATGCTGCGGGTGCAGGGATTTTTGGATGACTTTTGCAACTTTTAATAGCTTTCCTAGCCTTCCTTCTTCCAGGAATAATGACCAGGTCTGTTTCTTCTCCAGCTGACACATGACTCACTGTCCACTGTATTCTGACTTATCTCATGTCAAGGTCTAGAGCGTCTGAATCCTGTCCCTCCCCAGCTCTAGAGGTGGCCCTAAAGCTAAGTGTCCGGCTTTTGTGGGCTGCAGGTGAAGGTTGTTAGCTGCTAAAATGAAACACTGGTCTTTGGATGATGGTTGCTTCTAGTTCAGATAATGCCCCTATTTGGAATGGAAAGTCTAAAACTGTTTTTGACTAGATGATCACAGGACTGGTAAGCTACCAGGGCACAAAGAGAGAGGGTTTCCCATAGCTGAAGAGAACTATCAACGATAATCAACTCCTCGTATTTAAATGTGAGGTTAGGCTGGGGGCTCTTAGCTTTATAACAACATTGGTTTCAGTAAACCATTAGGACTGCAGACAGAAATACGCTAAGCAAGCAATGCTTTAAGATGCACCACCGTAGCTATCAGATCATAAAACACGGACTGAAGCTCTCTGGGCTCCATTCAGTTACCCAAGGGAAGGGTGGGGAAAGTGTTGGGATGACTGTGTTGAAGATTGTCAGTTCATTTCCTGAGGCCCGAATGAAATGCCCGAGACTGTTTAACTTTGTAAACGAGAGAGGTTTGCTTGGCTTCCAGCTCCGAAGGTACCAGGACACACCACCACCACCACCTTGTCTGTGGTAGGAACTAGTGATGGGTGATAGCGCAATGACAAGAGTGAAGGACAGAGGGAGACACTATGGCCTAGAAAGAACCTCAGGCTGGTGGCAGGCTAGGCTTGTTCTCAGGGCGGGCACTAACGCAGAGTCCCGCAGAACTACCTTAGAGCTGTGTATGGTGGTGCATGTCAGTAATCCCAGTACTCAGGAGGCAAAGGCTAGAGGGCCAAGAGTTCACGGACAACCTTTAGAAGAAAGCTTGAGTTATAACCCTAATGACCCAATTACCTCTTCATTCTCACGGCCCCACCTCTTCCAGGTCCCGCCTCCTTTCAAGGTGACAACACTCGGGAAAATCACAGCTAAGCCCTTTCTCAAGGTCACTAAACCTGAGCAGATGCGCTTGAACCTCTACACACATCTTCTCCAGAGGCTTCTCGGTCACAATGGCCCCATGACATAACCTCAGAAATGGCCACCAAAGCAGACCAGCTCTCTCTCCATACAGTCACTGGTTGCTGAGCCCCGGGGTAGGTGCTCTCATCATCCGATTGAAGACAAGTTTAAGGAGATGGCGGAAAACTGGCAGCCACTGTCTCTTAAAGAAGGGAGGCAGGGCAGCTGCGGGAGGGTCTCAGGAGTCCCTGGCCCTCCCTGACTGTCTGTGGGGAGTTAATGGTTCTTCAGAGGAAAGGCATTTTCTTTAGCCACCAGTGAGTTGCCATGTCCCTGGAAATAACCCTTCCCCGGTGCTCCCACAAGAATTCTAATGAAACTCACTGGGCAGGGCGAGGGGTGGGGTGGGGTGGGGTGGGGGAGAAGACTTGAAAGTAAACGGGGAATTAATGGGGAAGGAGATGGGGGATCAGCAGTGGAGGTGGGAGGGAAATGAGGCTGGATCTGATCAAAATACATTTTATATATATGTATGAGGAGGTCAGAATGAAACCCATTATCAGGTAGAGTTACTATACGCTAATAAATATTCTAACGAAGATGACAAGTGCAGACTTCTCTTTTCAGGACATGATCTCAGAGGGTAACTGCAGCCTTCATTCTGTCCAGGGATTACCTGTGGCCTTAGCCTGGAAGTTGCCTCCTGGAAGCTACAGGGTTAACTTCCCTACCCTAAGGCTCAGCATAAACCCTGGCCCAGTGTCTGTGGGGCAATCAAACAGAGGGCCACTCTGCAAGGATGTTTGATTAGGAAAGCTTTTGCTCAATAGCCATAATAGCCATAAACTGCTAGAGAGAGGCTAATGGTGATCATAAAATTTATTACTGGGAATATCTATTATCTTCTTCAGCAAAGCCCTCCCTTGATCATGGCCATGCTGATTGCATTTCCATGGTTCAAAACTCATTATGGTCTGTGGTTTTTCTCTGGGTCCCTATCTCATTCAGAGCTAGCTAGGGTCTGTGTACTGGGAGCTCCTTTTGGGAATTTGATTTCATTAATACTTTACGCTTAGTAGCCTTTAATTAGTGTTGAATAAAAATGGGATCCTAAAAGCATTACAGAGGGCTTTCCACTTGGGTGTCAAAATAATTTACTGTGATTAATAAGCTCTAGGTCACCATCGCGAGACTGGGAGTTTGAGTTCCATTTTGATCAGAAGGCACTGACTGGGATGTATTTATAATTTTCTTTAAAGTGTGCTCCCGGAAGAAATTTCAATCCAATCTTCCCTAGAACAAAATGCAATGTGCTCGCCACTAAACAATTGCTATGTCCTAAATGCAGACACTGTAAGGGACAGCCCTGAGAACAAGCGCTTGGGCTGTGTTTATGGCTTGTGGCTCATCACAAGATGCTAGGATCAGTTTTATTTATTCCTTTCGTTTCCTGTCTGTTCACCCAGCTCAGTGCGTACATGTGCACATCATACACATACAAACACACACACACACACATCTTTATTGTGCAAAATGGTGGACCACAGCAAATCGATGAATACTAACATTTATAGAGAACGGCTCGTGCGCCACCCTGTCACGTCCTCACGGCATCTTTCCAACATCACTTTCTCTGATTCTCCCCTTTGTAGACACGAGGATACTGAGGCTGGTAGTGATGCTGGAGTTGCCTGCAGTCTTCGTTGAGTAAGTGCTCTAGCGGAATTTAGTTAAGGGTTGGCCAGAACCCAGGGTCAGTGCTAGGCACCACTTCCTGGATAAGCAGACCCTGTTCAACAGCCTGGCATTCCTGACAGCAAGGATCACAGGAGGCTGGAGTTCAGGGCAGCTGTCCACAGCCATGAGGTTCTGAGAGCCATCAAGAGATCAGAGCAGGTGCCCATTAGACTGTTGGGCAGAGGTGACCTCAGTGGAGGCTGTTAGGGCAGCAGGCTGAAGTTGCCCTTCCCTCGTAGGGCTCATGGTCTGTGTTTTCAGGAGGGCTAGCAGAGTGCCTGTTGGCACTGAACTTTGCTCAGAAAAGTCAGGAGACTTGTGTCCACAAAGCTTATTCTTCATGTATTCTTAACGCTCTTCTTCCTATATTTCTATATATGGAACCTGCAAGGAAAGGACGTTTAAGTGGCTTCTGGATTATCCTGCTTTGACAGGTTTTCTTTCCCCATACCCTCTCCCGAGGGTGTTGGATCTCCCCCTTCCTTCAGTGTAGGACCTGTTCTCCTCACGGGACGTATAGCCGGGACATCAAAAACTATGAGAACATCAACCACTTGATGAAGCCATTCTATGAGCTAGCCATTATCTTTTATATATTTAAAACACCTTTTAGTTAATGCACAAAATAGGAAGCTTTCTATGACATTTTCATAGTTTAATATCATTGCAGCCTGCTTAGAGTCTGCTGGGGAGTGCACACACTTCCCTTTGCCCCATGTGTGTGCATCAGTGTGCATACAAGAATGTTCATGTGCCTGCCTCTATGTGAAAGTGTGTGACAGGGTGTCTATGTGTGGCTGGAAATATGTGTATTAGTGTATGCACCCATGCATATACATGTGAGTGTATATGTATCGGGTGTGAATATATGTGTTTGTGTGGGAGGTGTCTATGCATATATGAGTATGTAGGTTGGTTTTGTCAACATAACACAAACCTGGACCTATCTAGGAAGAGAGAATCTTAACTGAGGACTGGCTGTCTTCATATTGGCCTCTGGACATGTTTACCCAGCATTTTCTGGATTGATGGTTGATATGGGAGGTTCTGGATCACTGTGGGTGGGACCATCCCCAGGCAGGTGGTCCAGGGATGTGTAAGCAGGCTAAGTAAGGCACAGAGAGCCAGTTAGCAGTGTTCCTCCATGGATTCTTTCAGTGCCTGCCTCCAGGTTCCTCTCTTAAGCTCCTGCCCTGATTTCCTTTAGCAGTAGACTGTGATGTGGGATTTATAAGCCAAATAAATCCTTTCATCCCCAGGTTGTTTTTGATCATGGTGTTTATTATCGTACTACAAACAAAACCAGGAAGATGAGCGAATATATGTTTGCGCATACATTTGAGTGTGTATATAGGCTAAGAAATATACTAGTGTGTGCATAGGGGAATGTGTGTTCACGTGAGTGCTGATGTATCAACGGGTGATAATGTCAGTATGTGTCTTTCATGTGATCATGGAAATGTGTTTCTGCATGGCCTGTTTATGGGTGTGTATTTGTCCATATGCATATATGTTCACACGTGACTGTGTTTCACAGAGTGTGTGTGTCTATATGTGGACACGTTTCCCTGTGTACGAACATAGGCCTGTGCACTTCTGTGATTCCCCATCCTTATTCCATGCCAACCTGGAATGGAGATGGTGGCGGGTGGCGCTCTCCATCCCTCCACATGTTGATATTATCACTTTGGCTTCCCAAGTCTGGCAGGAGACATGGAACTAAACACAGACACTCTGGTGCCAAAACAAAATAGTGGAAACATTTGAAGCCCCAGTTCCCTAAACTTGCAGCCTATCAAACTGGGAACAAGCCCGGCTTTGTTTTCTTTCCCGCACGGCACAGAGGTAGAAAAGTCTGGAGCCTTGGTGGTTCTGATAGAAGAGCTGACTCGGAGCCAGGGAACTGAAAATTGCTGAAACCCAAAGCAGAAAGGAGACAGCAAAGATGTGAAGGGGACCATGTACGTGAGAGGGAGGCCGACCTTCTGACCTCCGTGCTAGGAGTGGGGAGAGGGTTTCAAGTAGTACAGAAGCTCAAAAAGAAAGAGAGGTAGTTCTTTCGTGGGGAGCCAGGCTCCTCACTGATCCTGCTTCATTTGGATACGGCCGGCCAGCCTAGCTGAGGGTTTGTGGCTTCAAAGACAAACAGCAGAGGAGCAAAGGGCAGTGGGCAGGCTTCTCATATGCAACCCTTAATCTCATGATGGGTGGGGAGAGGAGGACCCAGGAGGGCCTACCACCTGGTGTCACAGGAGCCTGGGGCCCTGTGACTGGTGCTTGGCTCTTGGAGTCCAGCTCTGAGGTTCCAGAGTCCCAGTGTATACAATGCTGACAGGAGGAGAGCTGCCTTCTCTTGGAGGCTCGACCTGCCACCAGCTGCTTCATCTCCCTATGTTCTTTTGAGTTGGAGCCTCTGGCCTTAGGCTGGCCTTGCCCAAGTTTTCGTGTTTAACTGCAACATTGCTGGGCATGGTGATATCACCAGGTTTAGGCTGCTGAGTCAGAGTTTAGACTCTGATTTTTGGCAATTCTGTTGTGTGTGCACAGGGGAATGTGTGTCTTTGTGAGCGCTGATGTGTCTGTGGGTCAATAATGTTAATATGTGTCTGCATGTGCCCGGACACTTACAGGAATGTATTACTTATGGTCTGTGTATGTGCATGTACTTGTCCATATACGTATATGTTCACATGTGACTGTGTGTTTCACAGAGTGTGTACATCTTTATATGAACATGTTTCACTGTGCATGAACATGTCTATTGTGGCTACACATCTGTTGTGACTCTGAAGGAGAAGGGTTTGTAGCAGAGGTGTGCCAGCTATAGCAGGGATAGATCTTAGCATGATGGGAATTGGTCCCACTGTTCAGATAGGCATTCTTTCCATGCTGTGGAGTCTGGGGGAACTTGAAAGGCTCGTGGCTAGTCCCACAGAGTATCAATGGTAACACTAATGGAGGGGCCCAGAGGCTGCGTGAATACCAGAGCCTGGCTTTACTCTTGGCGAGAACCCTCTTGCTCGGGTTCAGGTGTCAGTAGATAGGGCTCCAAGCCTGTTGTTTCTGCTCCAGCCTGTCCTCAAATGTTCAGTGACCCCTGCAGTGGCCACATCTGCTTGCCCAGAACAGAGAGACCTTTCCTGTGTCTGGAGAGTTGGGAGCTGTGGTTAATTCTGCTACTGATCGTCTCAGCCACTGATTCAGCCATGGTAGTCCAGCCCAGAGCTGTTCAAGTGTCTAATATTCAGGCCCCAGTGATGACTCCTCTTTGTTAGAGCTTTGGTCAAGTGATGCCTGAGGAGATTCTCCTATATTATGTGCATTGGGGTATCTTCATCTGTGGGAATATTTCAGTCACTAAAAAGAATGTGGCAAACTTTTATAAAGGATGTCCATGGTAACATTCTAGTCTATTTTATTAAGTGAAAAATGTTAGCTGTAGGAAAATAAATAGTTTTTTTTTTGTTTTGTTTTTTAGCTTTTCAAGACAGGGTTTCTCTGTATCTTTGGAGCCTGTCCTGGAACTAGCTAGCTCTTGCAGATCATGCTGGCCTCAAACTCACAGACATGTCTTTGCCTCCCAAGTGCTGGGATTAAAGGTGTGCCCCACCACCACCCAGCGTATTTGTTTATTTTTATGTAAGGTGCACAGTGTGTAAAAGCTGTATGTCAAAACTCATCCCAATAGTGACCTCGGGGATTAGAACATAGGAATTTGTTCTTTGCACTTTATATACCTGTCTATCCCCCATCTTCTTCTTGTCTTATTGCTTACATAAATAATTTTAAATTAATAAATCTCTTATCAGCATGGAGGTAAATGTTGGCTTAATCTATGATGGCAGGTCTTACAGCAAGGCCATTTGTGTCTGAAGAATGAGCATGAGTTCAGAGGACCTGAATTTCTCTTAGTTGGGGTCTTTAGTCTTTGCATGCGTGTTCCACGGATCCTACCTGGTGAAGCAGCACAGTCTTTGGATCCCTTCTGAGGATGATGATTTAAGCACGTAAATGAAAGATGTAGACCTACAAAGGAAATCAAATCTATTGAAATGCATTTACTAGCAAAGTACTATTTTAAATTATGACGCAGTAACATAGGTTCTTGATGCATCAAAAGACAAGACTGAGCTGCAGGCTTGGTCGCTGTTATAATTTAGAGTTAGCTTAGTGACAGTTTTGAGAGGCCTGCAAAAACAGAATGTTAACGTGGAAAGCACCATGATTTCCATGGGTGACAAAGCCAGATATAATAACACTCTGGTGCTACGCCACTTGACTTCATAAACAAAGGCCACATTATAGAACCACAGTCAAGAGCAGTTAAAATGAAGACATAGCTTCCCCTCTCACACCAGAGACCCCTGTGTGAGGTCCCATAATGATGAATGCTCTCAAGTGGGTGGGAGACACGGACACTACCGTTCCCATCCCAGATCCCGTGACTCCATGGTAAAATAAAGGGCTCAGGGGTGGCAGATGTGTGTCACCTCACACACAACTGCAGTCCATTGGGAGTGACTTGGTTGAGGCTGTTGGAAACGCTCATGCCATCACCATGATCCTACATGGAAAGGATAACATCCATGACTGTGATGTCTTCAGTGGGCGCTAGGTGGGAGGGAGGAAAGAAATTTGAGCACACATTTCCACTTCCGAACTAGACACGCCTATCACTGGTTTTGATATTTAAATGAATATGAAATTATTGTCTGACATTTAAATATAAAGCAGGTCCCCAAACAATAATAGCACAAGTGTTTTGGTCCTTCGTTAGGTACCGTGTGTGTGTGTGTGTGTGTGTGTGTGTGTGAGATGTGTGATGGGATGTATGTATGTGATATGTGTAGTATATATGATGTTGTGTAGTATATGTTGTATGTTCGTTTGTGTGTAACATATGGTGTCTTTGTGACATGTGTGATGCATACTTATGTTGGGTTTAGTATATGCATATGTGTATGGTATGTATGTGATATTTGTTTAGCATGTGTGGTATTTGTGTGTGATAGGTGTGTTATGTGTGTGCAATGTGTGTAATTGTGACATGCCTGTGAGTTATGTGTGTGATGTATAGATGATAGGTATATGTGCTTTGTGTGTACACATGTGTGTGGTAGTATGCGTGTGTGATATCCGTGTGGTGTGTATGTGTGTACTGTATGTGTGATGTATGTATCTGGTACATGCGCGCTGTCTGTGTGGCATTGGCACCACTAATGCGGTACTCAGGTTGGCCGCGTCTTCAGAAAGATGTTCCACTGAATGAACTTGGAAGCCTTACCTCCAGAGTATTCACAATAAGATGGTTACTGGGAACAGATTGTCTAGAAAGAAAACAAGAATCGGTAAACAGAGCCCTACAAATGAGCCATCTGGAGATTTATTTACATAAGAAAAGAGAAGAGCCTTGGTGTTTTCGTGCTGGAGTTTGTTTCTCCTATAAGTAGCCACAAGAGTGTGTTTGTCCTGAGCACACATTGAGCTTTTTAGTGGAGATCTCTGAAAGCATGGAAAATAAAAACAAAAACAAACATAGCTGTGCTCCTTTGGTTGGCTATTTGAGGACTGGGAAAGAGGACGGGGAGAGAGGGAAACAGTCACACCCCTTCTTTTCTTCAAAATATGAGTTCTAGCATAATATTTTATCTGTTTCAAAATAGCTGCAGTGCCCTCCCACCCGTTTTGAAATTGTTTTGTTATTCCCAAAGTGACAAATGAGAACATACTTTCCCTCAGCAAGGTCACATTTGGAGACACCCAGCCATGTACAAACGGTGAAGGATGACTCGCAGGGGCCAATACCTTGGCACAATTTGGTTAGCAGTGGGAGCAGTGACCTTGTGACCCAGAGAGGCCCCTCCTTGGGTATGGGCCCGGCTCTGCAGAACCACTTAGTCTCCTCCAGCTTACTTTTCCCTCTGCCATCCTCAGGAAGTGCACATTTTAATGGTCCCCTCTTCCCAGGACTCCTGACCCCATAACCTCTGCTGCTGGCTCGGTTACTAACCGTTCAGGATGGCTCACCCCTGTGGTATGAAGAACACGGAACAGAGAGGGGCAGTGGCCGTCGCACCAGTGTTTGCGCCCAGCCAGGCACACCTGAATGTCCTCTGCATCCTGTGCTGGATGGCGTGACCTAGACCCTGGCTGCATTGTCGGCCACACCTGCGCAATGACAGCCTCGGTAAAAAATAGTCCCGCTTTGTCCGGGCAAGTCCTGCTGGGCTGATAAAATACCAGTTACCAAGACAGTCATCGGAACAGAGAGACAGCTCTCTGCTCCTACACTGGGCTGGGCTGTAAAGCGGCTTGCATGTTTGTTCTGGAAATTGTATAGCTCAGGGCAGCATGTCTTTATAGGGGCAAGATGAGGCAGGACGGAAAGGCTGGGCAGATCTGCTGCCCCGGGGGCTCCCCGAGCCAGGAGCAGCTGCGTGAAGGACAGGAAAAGAACTCTGGAGAGCAAAGGTAGCAGGAAGATAATCACCTGGCGGCAGGACGGTGGTTGGACCTGGATGGCGGTGATGATGATGATGATGGTGTGTGTGTGTATGTGTGTATGTGTGTGTGTGTGTGTGTCTGTGTGTGTATGTGTGTGTGTATGTGTCTGTGTGTGTGTCAATGTGTGTGTGCGTGTGTGTATGTGTCTATGTGTGTATATGTGTCTGTGTGTGTGTCTGTGTGTGTGTCAGTGTGTGTGTGTGTATGTGTCTGTGTATGTCTGTGTGTGTGTCAGTGTGTGTGTGTATGTGTGTGTGTATGTGTCTGTGTGTGTGTGTGGAGGTGTTATACTTGTGTGCATGATTAAGCCCAAGTGCAGCCTAATAAGGAACTTGGGAACACATACCCCATTTTCTACCTGGGCAGGAGGAGGAAGGGCTTCTGTGTAAAGATCAGGACCCTAAGGCTGTAACTAAGCTGAAATACATAAAGGCTACCAAAAAAATAGGTTTTGTTTGTTTGTTTTTAAGGCTGGGGGACGACTCAGTTGGTCATGTGATTGCTACGTAAGCGTGAAGACCTAAGTTCAACTCCCAGAAGCCACATTAAAAAAATCCAGGCATTGTGGTACACATTTATAGTCTCTGCACTGGGGCGATGGAGACATGTGGCTCCCTGGGGCTCCCTGGGGCTCCCTGGGGCTCCCTGGGGCTCCCTGGTCAGCCAGGCCAGTCTACTCTCCAAGCTCCTGGCAATGAGAAACCTGTTCAGAGGACAAGGGGGGGGGGTGGTTCCTGAGGAGCAGCATGGAAGATTGTGGTTCTCTGGCCTCTGCATGCTTGCATGCACATATGCATATATACCTACATATGCATGAACACACACACACAAACTGAAATGTGGAAGGTTCTGGAAGCTGTGCTCTGGGTCAGTACCTGACTTGGAGCAGGTGTTTCCAAACTGGCCTGTGCTAGAATGTGCAAGGACCTGATCAGCAGAGGGGCTGGAATTTTAAGAACAGGCAATGTGATTGTCAGGCCCTGAGGCTAAGCTATCCCTGAGCCCTGGCCTCCCTGCCCATCTCACAGCAGGAATTCACTGGGGGCCTTTTTATTGTGCGAGAGTCCTCAGGCTGAGAGAGGGTTAGCTGAGGAAGACACACAGCTACGAGAGGGAGAGGTATTAATTCAAGTGGGTATAATCTGCCTTCTTAGCTCTTAATCAAAGCTGAGTTCGATCCTATCAGAACAGTGTGGATCTGGAAGGGGTGTTAGAAGGGCTGGAGACCTGAGCTCCTCAGGCGGGGATCTGCTCATCACTGGGCCAGCTGCCGCTGTTTCTAGATGCTGTCCCAGGTGTCGTTATCACTGCTGTTTTAATGGTAGAGCACTTCCAATGCATGGAATGGGAGCAATAAAGTTGCAGCATCTTGAATCTTGTTTTTCAAACTTTCACAATCATATTTAGGGGAGGATCTTGAAAGTGACTTTGATGATGTTAATGAACTCGGATAACCTCCTAGCTCAGTGATTCCAAACATGGTGGACCTACTTACTTGTAATGCCCAACAATTCTAGAGACTGTCATTGCATCTTTAGAGTCAAATGACAGCATGCGTAATGCCCAAGAAGCTGCTTTAAATTAAGACATGCTTTTACATGAATTTGTCTGGTGCTGTTAGGAACACTATCTGCCCATATTTGAAAAGCAGTCATGTCTATGAGGTGAAAGCAATATCATGTAACACAGACTACATTTACGGACAAAGTGGCCTTATAGGTCCCAGGAGATCGGGAGCTACCATCAGGTACATTGCAATGCTAAATGAGAGGGGAATGGATGCTCCCAAAGTGGCACAAACGTGCTTATCTCCCAAGAATCAAAGGGATATTTGATTTTTATGAATTCTAGCATTTGGGCATATACCCACAATGGAAGGTTCAAGAACAAGATTGAGCCCAGGGAAATGGGAGTCCACTCTGACTACTGAGGAAAGCAATGGCTATTCTTTCACTTAGGTCATTACAAAAGAGGGACATTCGGCATCGCTGAAGAGCAGGACCGTGGCTCCCGCTTCTTCCGTTTTCACTACCGAGAGCCTTCACTGGGCTTCATGACAGCAGATGGCCTGAGCTGGAAGGGAACCTCATATCCTGAAGCCAGGTAGGTGTACACACCCCACCCTTGCACTCCCCAGGCACAGTTGGCTCTGCTTGGCTCCCCTTTGCCCTTTCAGTCCTGACGCCAAGAGCAGCAAATTCCACAGACACTGGGTAGGGTTTTATCTGATTGTCGCTCTCGGGACTGACACACAGCACATCGCTGATGGATATGGAAGGTAATTTAATACTAATATTATGATGTTTTTTCCATGGGGGCCCATAAGTAAGACCCGAGACTTAAGATACATTCATTTTTTTTGTCATTTCCTAAGTTTACAAAACTTGAGTCAGTCAGAACAAATTTGGGTGCCATGTCATCATTTGAAAACCGGAGTTGAAATTTTCTAATATTGCCAATATTTTCAGTGTGAGTGCTTGCTTCTCCTTGGTAAGACAGTTTAGTGCTTCAGGGTACAGGTACCAACAGGCAGGGGTGTATCTTCCTAAAGCCCAACTATAGATCCTTCCTATGGAAGGCAAGAGAACTAGTGGTTTCTCCTCACTTCTGGGACATAGGAAATGAGATTATATTGAGGTAGTAATTCTCTCTCCCATTGTAAGAATGATACTGTTCATTTTGCTAAGCTTTCGAACACGGGTGTGCGTGGCCAAGACTCAACAACAGTGTGCGCAGAATCTAGTAGGCTTACATTTCCACCTTGTATCGGGGCTTTGCTTCTGGAAGGAAGCCTATTAAAACAGCAATTTACAGGAGGGGAAAAAAGAGTGGGTCTTGAGGCATTTGGTCAGGGCAGACATTAGTTCCATTTAGAGCTCAAACCAGCCCACAGGTAATTGTAGGTCTCTGCATTAGCTTGTCAGAGCAGAGAAAGCATGGAATTCAAGCTAATCTGATGGGCACATGAATTGGGGACTCAGTGCCAAGTGAGACCATGGAACAAAAGGACACATGTGTTTCTAGTGGGGGGAGAAACCCCAACACAAACTAGATTCAACTGTTGGACACATGAATCTCTGGGGAGCCTTAGAGGGCTTGTCGGTTTAGAAAAGTGAGCGTTCTTTGAGTGAAGCCCTGGAGCCTAGGGCCTCTCTGTTGCCTGAGGCATATGGCCTGGAAGTTTTTGAAAGGGAGCTTTCAGGGCAGAGCTACTTTCGGCTGTTTCTCAGAACTCTCTTTAGGAAGCCTGTCTGTCCCGTGAGTCTGAGCATTCGCTCTACTGGATTCAATACAAGGAGCCCAGGCTCTGCCCTGTCCATTCTGCTTTAACTGGTCCAGGGTGGGGCTTCGGCATCTGGAATGCGAGCCTTCTCCCCTGTGACTTTAACTGGACAGACTGCAGTTAGGATCAAGATCCACGAGCCTGTCAGTGTTCATGTCTGCCATCCCAGCCACTTGTGACGGTGACTCTGTCTTAAAGAAAAAATTAAAAAAGACTGAAGGCCAGGGCTCAGGGAGATGGCTCATTTGGTAAAGTACTTGTCATGAGGACATGAGACCCAAGAAGAACCAGGCACAGTGGCATAAGCTTCTTATACCAACACTTGGGAGGAGGGGACAGACCAACTCTTGGGACATGGTGATCAGCCAGTCTTGCTTACTTGACAACCTGTAAGAGACTCTGACTAAGGAATAACAGCTGAGGTTGACTTCTGGTCTATACATGAATGTGCGCGCACACACACACACATACATGCATGTACACGGCAGAGGGTATAGCTTGCTGGCAGAGTGCTTGCCCTCTATGTGTGAGGCTCTCAGCTCCAGATGAAACAAAGCAAATCCAGGAGTGGGGCACAGCTCGTTGATGTCCTGAGCGGAGTTCAGGCCTCCTGAGAAGGATGTGTTGTAAGAATAACTGGGGATGGAGGTGGGCGTTGGCTACTTTGTGCTTCGTGGTTCAGGGATTTGTCTTCCCAGTGAGTTAAAACATTAGCAGGTTCCTTATTGTTGGTCCTTGACAGACAGGCTTCCTCCAAGCACAGATGGAACACAACTGTAAATGAGACCAGCTCTCCCTTGCTCCATCCCACAGCAAGGGTCTCAGAGCCTGCTGACCCTTGACCTTGCTCCTGAAGACAGAGTCCCAGGATAGTTTTGCCGAAAAGGAAATAAAGAGAATGGGAGGGGGGAGTGTCAAAAAGCAGAGATTTTAATTTTCTGCCTGCGAAAGCAGTCACATTCTGAGCTTCAAGGGGGGCCTTAGGTCCCAGCCTGTATGGCTGCCCCCTTGGCGGCCAAAGTGTTCGTGCCTGTTACGAAGCTGGTTGGTGTTAGGACACTAAACCAATCAGGTATTTAATTGCATGAGTCAAAGATTATCCATTTCAGTAAAAACGTGTTAAAAGAGCCAACCAGTCTACGCCTAGAACATTTGTACTGATTTAAAACAGTTGTGGAAAAGGTGGTTTTAAAACCAGGCCTTTTGTGAACCCCTAAAAAGAAAACATTTAACACATTTAAAAGCACTCTTCGGACTAAATAAAGGATTCAAAGTCTTTAAACAAAAATAGGGACGAGAAAATCAAGTTAGTGGTAGGTATCTTTTCTGTTTGCTTAGGCTGGCCTTGAATTTGCCATGGTCTTCCTGCCTCAGCCCACAAAGTCCTAAGATTACAGGTGAGCATTAACCTCGCGTCTTGCTCAATACATGCCTAGAAAGGTGAGAATTCTTTAACCACGTCATCCCCAGGATAGTGGGGTCTTTGTCTGTAGCACTTTATGGTAGGATACACAAACAGTGGCACACCGGTTTCCACCCGCGAATGTTCACAGGGAAGGTGGAGGTCGGGAACAGTTCAGTCCTTTGCGAAGTGCGACTCCATGGCAAGTCCTCAAGCCATTTGCAACAGAGACCTCAGTAGTGGGCTCAGGTGTGTGCTTAGCAATTTCAGACGCAGGTGAGTGGTGTGCGAACAAAACGCCACCTGTGATCTCTTTTTTCACTTTTTTTTTTGGCCCAATTCCTTTAATTTATATTTTGGTGGTTTTTTCAGCATATATTCATTGTGTAGATTAATGGACCTTGTTATGCAATTTTTAATTTAATATACCACATATTTTCTCACATTCATTATCTCTTCCCTTCCTGGATTTTTGAGAAAAGCTCTCATGACCTCACTCTGTAGCCTAGGCTGGTCTAAAACTCACAGTGTAGCCTGGGCTGCCCTCAACTCACAGAAATCCTCCTGTTTCAGCTTTCCTAGTGCTGGGATGCAGGTATGAGCCACCAAGCCTGCCTTTTTGCTTGTCTGTGAGTTATTAATGCTGAGAATTTTGCAGATAATTTAATTTATATGGGTTTTCTGGAGGGATGAGACGAACTGTCCTGACAGAACACCATTCTAGAACCTCTCCCTTTCTCGTTTGACAGATGTCCTCTGGAAGCACCTCCTCTGTGCCTGGTGCTAGTGCACGCACATTCAGGGATGCAGGCCTTTGTCTTGATAGGGTTCTCTAGAGAAAAAGAAAGAAAATATAAGGTGTGTGTGTGTTTAAAGTATATATATGTACTGTGTAGATATGCATGTGATATGCACGTGTAATATTACAGAAAGAGACACACTCAGAAAGACAGAAAAGACAGAGAGTGAAACGATTAGTTGACTGGCCAATTAATGGATTTTAAAGGAATTGGCAGCAGGCAAGGCCAAACTGCAGAGAAACCAACAAGCTGGGATCAGACCGGAGCCAGTGCTTCAGCTCATGCACAAGGCCCTCTGTTGACAGGATTCTTCTTCTCCCAAAGGTCAGTCTTTTTACTGCTAGTGCCATTTTTGAGTGATACCCTTCACATTATGGAGAGTCATCTTTGTTAGAAGTCTGTTGATGAAAGTATTAATCTTTTTTTAAAAGGTATCTTCTTAGAAACATTTAGAATGTATGACCAAATGAACGGGTAGCACAGCCCAGCCAGGCTGACCTGTGAAATTAACCACTCTAGACTGTGGCTCACTTTGCCTGGCCAGGCTGGCTCCCTCTCAGTCATTCTCAGGGAGGGTGCAGTGAAGAACTGAGGATTGGCCATCTTAGTGACGGGTGACTTGCCAAGACAGGCTACTAGAACAGAGAGGGAACTTCCGATCTGTCTGCAACTTCTTCCCAGAAGACAGGATAGGAAATCAGCAGCAGCATCTAGGGTTTGTGCACAGGATTTAGGAGCCTCTGCTGTTATCTCTGTTGCTTAAGTATTATTTTCATGGTGAACGTCATAGAGAATCACATTCTGGCCTCAACTATAGCTTTGTCTTCCTTCCTTCTTGACCGGGCCTCTCTGATGACCATGGCTTTGCCATGAGTAGCACAAGTGTGGTTGGCAGCGACAGCACACCTTGCTTAGTGGAATTCTTTCTCATAAAATTCGTATGGTGTCTAACTTTTCCCTAGACTCCACAACGGATAATATTTCTGCATTTTACAAACATGGAAACATGAATATGCCTATGTACAGCTTGTCTTCGCTGTCAACTTGATTGCATTTGGAAACACACTTCTAGGTGTGTCTGTGAGGTTGTTCCCAATGGAAGGAAAACCTGCCCTGACTATGGGCGTCACTGTTCCAGGGGCTGGGGTCCTGGACTACATAAAGAGGAGGAAGGGGACAGAGCACCGTCCTAATGGGTGATGACACACGACATACTATCTCATGTCCCACCACTCTACTTTCTTGCCATTTCCCAAATAAACACTGCCTCTGTTGAGTGACTCTTTGTCAGGAATTTTGTCATGGCAACGAGAAGTAACTAATACAGCCCACCAAGAGTTATACTTTTACACAGTCCCTTCTAGTCCTTTCCACACAGACAAACTAGCTTGCATAAGTATAATAGTTTATATTTTAATCCTCTCCCTATTATATCATAAGCCATGACCTATTACAACACAAGTGCCTTCCATGTCTTTACGGAGATGTAACCTTCCAGCAAATGGATGTATGGCAATTTGATTAACAAAGTCTTCTTCTTCAGTGTTGAGCTCCTTCACTTTTTGTATCATGTTACTGTGGTTTGCTTTTCTTTAGGATGAGTGTCTAAAAACAGGAT